TAGCATGAAGACAACGACCAATGAAATAGATATGACTAACAAAGCGTGTTTTAGCGAGAGTAAGGTTAAAGAGTTTGAGAGCGAGATTAGAGCTAATGTTAGGAAAAGGAAATAAAAAACTTACCATTTCCTTGCGGAGTTCCTTGATGATGTTCACTCAAAAGGTCAGGTAGGACAACCTGATTGACGCATGCGCAGTGAGCAGGTCGTAAACAACAATATTAGCAGGTCGTAACACGCATTACCAACTGAATAATGCATAAAGTTAAGAAAACATTGATAAGTGAATCGTATCTTTGTAAAGAACAAGATTGCGTGTTGAGAGCTCGTGTCTTCACGCACGGCTGCTACTGAGCAGAATTCACATGACTTTGTTTTCATTCAAGTTTGTTCTAGCATGAAGTAGGTATTTTATGAATTCAATACCACACGACATGCGCCAAGAAACATTGAATTATTTTGTTACCAGAATCAAAATTAAAATACAGGAAAGAAAACTCGAGAAAACACATATCCTCTTCGTGATGGGAATCGTTATTTTTAAGCGTGATTTTGTTCAGGGTCTAATTTGGTCTACATCCCTTTCGTCAACCATCTTTCGTCACAACCGGTTGACGCTTCACATTAGACACGAATTAAAACAGCAACACGTCATTAAAAACAACTGTCGTTGTACAACAATGCTAATAAAAGAATTAAACACAAACAAGAACCACATGAATAGCAAGCCACGCGTTTTGCGCCTTACTAGTCCATGACTAACACCACAAATATTTACCAGAACTCTTCCCGTATTCAACTTCTTCCTAATATTTATGAATTATTAACTATAATTGAAATTTTCGCGCCCTTTTTCCGATTCATATCCTTAACTGGGATTAAATGGTAATAGCATGACCTGTAAGCTACTACGCCTTCATAAGTACGTTAAGTAGACTGAACCACGCCTTCCGTTCCAGACGTTTCTAAAAAATAAAAGCGTTCCGTAACATGCTGTCGATTCAAATAAAGAAAACAATGCTTGGTACATTTTCTTCGGATTTCGATTGTCTTATTTTTATATTCTAGTCATTGCCTTGTCCATTATATTCTGTTATGCTTATTTATTTATTTTGTTTTTCTCATTCTTTACTAAGTTAAACGACCGCATAATTTTAAGAAGAGAACTTTGACATTTTAGATTGGTAAATAAAACGGCCAGCAAGTGTGGGCCACCCATGATAGTTACTAAACACTATTGCCTTGCTATGGAAGAGGCAGGAATCGGAGGGGTAGAGGCAAAAGAGTAATTTAAATTAACTTTGGTGAACTAAATGTCCTTGTATAAATATTATGTTAATTAAACCAATAAGATAATTGCAAGTGCCTATAAAAATAATGAAGTTTTTAATGTCAAATTAAAGCTATGTACCTTGTTCAGGTATTATTTCATAAGAAAAGTGAAGGACTTGATATATTCATGTCTATCTTTCTGATTACAGCTAGACTCTAACAATAATAATGATGGATAGTTTTCAGTTTCCAAACCAAGGTCAAGTTATACAGACGACTGACGCAACCTATCACTCATTGTCCCCCAATATTTGAGTTTCGAGACAAAAAAGTTATATTATTCAAATTTTTTTTTGCATCATTTTTCTCTTTCTATCCAGAAAAACGAATTTGACCTTGTCTATGTTGTAGGTCGATAATATTTTCTCCTCTAACACTCCAGATAAGAGACTAGACCATTCCCCCCTCCTTGATCCTCTATGATGTTTTCTGTCTGGCTGGTCGAACCATCAAGATATTCTCTTCGTTGGAGTCAATTTGAGCGCAATAAATGCTTTTTTAAACAAAAGAATCTATTGTTTCGAAATTCATGCTTATTTTTATTAAGATACGATCACTAGTTAAAAACCAGTTAAGTTGACAACAATGAAGACAAAAATACCGATGCACTATATTCTACTTTTAAAACCTTATTCATATGAAATGAAGTACAGATTTGAAGCGATGAAGTAAGTGCAACGTTGCAACAAGAGAATTTTTGTTGAATGGCCAAAATTTTACCTCGTGATCAAATATATGGTGGTAAAAAATATGTAAGAACCCTGATATTGCAAGAAAAAAGAAAAAAAAGAAAAACCACGAAGGTTTCAAAGGAATGTCTGGATATGATCCATGCGTCCTTTTTATGATATTAATATTGACACAGAAAGGACATATATTTCCCAAGAGTGTTTGTATGAACGGGTTCTGCTTAGACAAGAAATAATATATCTAAAGAAGACTATTGTTTTTGTTTTTTTTTTTGTACTTGTCCTTCAACGGTTTAATTTAAACTCTTCGAAAAATAAATTCCTAATTCTAGATATACAGATAACTAGATAACACTACGTTTTGGATACAGATCGATACTTAGCTTTGCTTGAAGAATTTCTATTACATCGATAGGATCGAGCTTAGATGCATTGCATTGTCCATCAGGCGCGTGCAGTATGTCACGCGCTGCAGACGGAAACTAATAAATCCAATATTCAACTATCATTATTAATGAAACCTGTTGCCATGGTAACTAATTAATGACGATTGTAAGAACAAGAGAGATAAAGATAAGAACGAAATTGGAAACGACTTTGTCAAAATATCAGAATAAAGTATTTTAGATTTCCAACTAAAGTGTACTTACCATTACGATTAGCCCTTGTTAACTTATGACTTTAGATTTATTCAGTTATATTCTTGGCTTGCCAAGGTCAAGAAAAACTGAAACGTGCGGTAATTCATAGATTACTTGGTGGCCATCAGGACACAGTATAGTCAAGGGTCGTTACTGTTGTCATGGTGATCGCTGGATTCGTAGCTGCTTTGCTTGATTCTTTTTCCTTGTGCTTTTTGGTCTTAAAAAGATTGAATGGAGAAGCTAGTCAACTCGTCGTTAGCATGTTTAATACTCAGCGCGTAGATGCAACGACATGCAAAACGCAAGCAGAAGCAGCTAACGCAGCATCATTGAAGCTCTTCTTTGCTGCTTTTTGCAGTAGAAAAGAGCATTGCATAGCTTGGTCTGCAACACAAGTATAAGCATCAACAATAGACTCATTGCTGCAGCTCTTCTCTTATAGGTGTGAGAAAAGATATCTGCTGTTAATGAGTAATGCACAACTGAGTCTGTAACACAAGTATAAGCATTAGCAACATACACAATCTCAGAGCAGCTCTTCTCTAACAGGTGTGAAGAAAGACAACTGCTGTCATGAGCAATGTGTGTACAAGTGAGCCGGCTCTTATGCTTGTGCTGCAAGCGTGAATTTATTGGCAGTCTTCATATAAGGACCTACAATCACATACAACTTTTACTTCTCTCCACATCTCTTCTCTACTCTAAGGTACGAAATATTGCACCAACATGCTGGTGTATTTGTATTTTATGGTCATATCTGCAGGACTCGTACACATCACGCCACACCCTCACCTTTCATCCCACAAACAAGTGAGGGGGGGGGGGTGCTAATTGAATTTCTTTAAAGAATCGTAATACACATTAATTTTGATGACGTATTCCCGAAGATAAATTGCTGACAAATTCAAGAGGTGTCTGCAATTCGTCATGGTTCACTACCAGACGAGTTCTCATGATTTCTACAGTTCGTGCAAATTTTCACGCTCTCTGCTGGTCAAAGTTGAGCTCATATTGCGCGTCAATCAGCCGTGGCAGTTTTGTAGCCGGACTGACATATACCATTTACCGGTATAGTTCCTTAGATCAGCCTATTAACGCTCAAGGGTCATCGGAAACGTGAAAACTGGCCCTGGGGCAACACTAATTTAGATGTTAATAGATACAATAAAGTCTCGAGTATTATATCAGTCATCGATACTATGAATAAACACTGGACTGTGCTTGTGAATTATTTTTTCATATATGATCCTGTTTCATGAATTTAAGAGGTGATGTTATGCGCATGAAAAGTAATGTTTCGGCCTCCCGCCCTCTCTTCACGTGACGGGCAGGTAGAGGACCAGTAGAGTGCCGTAAGCGTGCAACAGGTTGAAATAAACGGTATCATGTGACTAGTAATGTTTGACTACAACGGCCCACGCTTCCCTCTCTTTATGTGACGGGCAGATAGAGGACCAGTAGAGTGCAGTAAGCGTGCAACAGGTTGAAAGAAACGGTATCATGTGACTGGTAATATTTGACCATAACGGCCCACGCTTCCCTATCTTGATGTGACGGGCAAGTCAGAGAAACCGGATTTACGGTACGTCAGCTAGGGTCACACGATCGGAAGATGAGCATAATGTTGCGTAAAATTAACTAAAAAACCTCAAAAACTCTCATTTGCGTAAAACATACTTGCTACGATGCCAAACCGAAGGAAACATGTCAATTGGGCGTTAAATGATACTTAGATTTTATTATTAGATAGACTGACATAAATTCATACGTCGAAATGCATTTACGATCAAGCCCTTCCTCTCGATTTGAACTTCAAGACAAGTCAGTGTCACATTTTATATGGTAAAGACAGACTCTTGTGCTCAAGATCCTGGCGGATATACTGCATGATTGGTAATAAAAAACATACAAATACTTGATGATGTTGGAACTGAATGACTGAACATATTGTACTATAGTATATCAAAAATAAAAATGTCAGAATTTCCGTTATTTCCATTGGCTATCAATATCTACTCGACCATGATAGATATATGTCAAATGTTAGGAGTGTCTTGTCACATGACCACGAAATACCTTAATAAAGCGAAATGAATACTTAAAACGAATAAAAAATATAGTTGCTTAAGGGAGAACTTTTCATGTATACAAATGAAGTCCAAATCATTATTGTTAGCCATTTTTGAGTGCCATCTTTCCCGTTACGACCTGTTGACACTTATCAGTTTCTACGTCTCAGAACACACGTCATTCAACTGTGGTATAGTTTGTTAACACGTTATTTATTAACAGAATCTAACATACACAAACCACAACACGCGTCTATAAACACCTTATTTCTCAATGAGTCAGCCCGAAAATATGTCAACAAAACTAAGGTCATTCCCTTTGCCTAGTAAGCAGAGAACTTTTCACGTATATAAATGAAATACCCATCATTACTGTGAGTCATTTTTGGGTGCCATCTTTCTCGCTACAACCTGTATACATAACATTTTACCACTCAGAACACGCGTCATTCAAATTTTCACGAATATAAATGAAATCCCCATCATTATTGTTAATAGTCATTTTTGAGTGCCATCTTTCCCGCTACAACCTGTTCACACATATAAGTTTCTACGTCTCAGAAAACACGCCATTTAATCTTTGTTTGTTAACACGGTTATTTATAAAAAAATCTAACATACAAACCACGACACGTGTCTATAAACACCTTATTTGTCAATGAGTCAGTCCGGAAATATGTCAATAAACCTAAGGTCATTCCCTTTGAAAAAGTCATGAATAACCACTACACGCGTCTAACTCCATAGTTGTCCATGAGTCAGGCCGCAAATATGTAAATAGATTAACAATTGTTTCCCTTTGAAAATGAATGAACAAGTGTACGTGATCTTATTTTCGCGCCATTTGCGTTCAATAATCTGTTAAATCACGTGATATCAATGGTTTTCAAATAGGAGAATTCCTAGATTGGAAATATATTCCGGATATGGAACCCAGTATTTCAAATGCTCAAAATTCTTTTACCTTTAATGGTTATAGAAGATAAAATGAATATATTTAATCGTCCGGTTCTTTGAATTGATAGAATATTCAGAGCTGAAATATTTGGTTAGCTGTTCACTTGAGAAATTTTGGGCCAGGCGAAAAACATTTTCTGAACAAAGCAATTTAGCATTTTTTTCGATTGTCGAGAGATATATTTTGGGAAAAGGTACACGTAGATATTCTATGAATTAATTCTCGTAATGATGTAATATTTACCGATATTGTAAACAGTAAGTGCTCCAAAAAGACCTTAGCTTGCAGTATAGCAATTATTGAACGAACAATATTCATAATCCTATAGAATTACGAATATTGGTATTATATCAGTTCTTTTTACGTCCTTTTCTATTTTTGTAACAATTAATAATGATTTTTAAACGATAAGTATTCGAATGGCTTTTGTTTTTGCCAAGAAAAAGAATTGAATTCCAACACGTTCCTGAACTATAAAAAACTCTATACGGTAAATAACTATTTTTAGTGCTATAGGTCGACTAGCCCAGTGGAACACTTAGTTACTATAACAAACTCTGTATATGGTCAAGATATAGATAATGCATTATATTATCGTGATGGATTTCAAATTAGTAAATATCTAAAAATAACTCTGATGGGGTCTTTTAAAAGACGCTAACGCCAAACAACCAACTCTTGATTTTTTTAAATCCTTTAAAAATTAATTATTTAAAAATTTCTCCGGCTTGTTTCTTTGCTTTTCACACGAAAAATCTAGCTCTTCTAAAAATATATATTAAACGCTGAAGCTATTTTTGTCGTCTTTGGACAAGCTTGAGGGTATTTTTGCTTTTATCGGATAAGATAAAAGCACTGAGTTTAGCTTATAAAAGCATTCTAGAAAACACAATATTTTACATAAATACCCTGCGAGTTATTAGAACCTATTTTTACCCTTTTTTATACAAACCAGTTTTATCGCGTGAAAAGATAACAGTTTTTGGAGTTAAAACATTTGTAAAAAAGCTGCCTGTTATTTAATTTTTGCTGGCTTGCACGCAGTTATGAATAACCTGGTGTAGTAAAGATATGATTTAATACAAATTGTTTTGATTTGAAATTTAGAATTTTTTTCTCCAGTTTTCTCGATTTTGCTGACCAAAAGCACAAATCAAGAAACACGAAGGTAATCGGAAATCTCTCGGAAACAAAGTTGGTGACGTCGTGATGGTTACAGCACATTCTGACCCCAGGATGGGTGGGCGGGGAGTTTGGTTAACCATAATGTTTAGTTCCAAATAACAAAAGAATCGAAATCAAAGTAGAATCTTCTAGACTTTTCTTTAAACAAAAACAGGTTTTTCTCGAAATCCTATTCAGATATTTTATTGCTTGACTGGTCATGAGGGCTGAGTGAGAAAGGTCTTCAATATAGTGTTTAATTCATAGCTGTTCAGTGATAACGAGTGGTAGAAGAGTCAGGCAAAATATTCCGTGCTCGGTATATCCACTTCACTTGAGCCCCTTTTCCATAGATGTTGGCTCTTTTTTCTTTTTAAGGTCTCTCGACTCAACCGAGCAATGAGAACGGTTTATAACGCTGGGGTGCTTGCAGCGACTTCTTTCAGTTCTTACTAATAAAATCTGGGATAGACATGATCTAGAAATATGTGCAAACTAACGAGAGGAAATTAGCCAATAACAGGGGGGAGGGGTGGCGGAAAGTACAGGACCTAGCCTGACAGGAATTACCTAGAAACAATTCCCGGGGGGGGATGGGGCCGGGAAACAATTCTACTTATATTCTTCAGATTTTGAGTAACATTTTAGCTATGAATCTGCAGCCGTTATTTATTTAAGACTGCTTTCCAACTTGGTCCACTTTCATTCAAACACACTACCAATATATTAGTTAATATTCGATGCATATGAGCATGAAGGAGACCAGTCAGATCAGTAAAAAACCCTTGAAATATCACGTTACAGTGGTGGGTTTCGTTAAGAAATCCCAAGGTCAGACTATAAGACTCGTGCAGTTATATACGTGCTCTGATTGCAAAAAGCGAAAGTCCTGCCACATGGAATATTCATTGATATGGTTCACAAGTGTTGCTATGATTGCCAGTTATCCTAAGCAGGAAAAAATCCTTTTGTATATGTCAGTTCAATTTGATAATTATAAGCTTAACCTAGATAGCCTACACTATACTATTAACCGATCAGATGAAGACCTATCTAAGTATAATTTTGTTTCTTCCACGTCGAGTTCAGTTTTGAACAATTCAGTCGATGACTGTTTCCAAAAGAGTTACGTGTCTTCGACCCATCTTCAGGGGATGTAAACACATGTAAAACTTCTTTCACATCACGTCTTCATAACTGATGATGAAACGAAGCATATCTAAGTCTAGCAAAAGTATCAAGCCGTGCCCAAAATGGCCCGAACCTCTATTTAGCGGCCACATCACGATGTAACATCTCAACCAGTTATGATTATTGGACGGAAAACATAACTAGACGGACGCTTTTCTGTGGGAAAGTGCAGTGCTTGTTTAGTTTACATTTTGCAACACGTTTCTCAGAGTTGCATTCAATTAATAAATGCATGGCATGATTTGCTGCACGTTTATTGAGGTGCTATATATCCTTGCACTGACCTTAAGAATTCCTATTAAATAAAAGGTCTTGTTAAGGTATGATAAGGTCGCAGCTAGCTACAGCAAGCCTGCAGAAGAGATTATAAGGTTTTCGCAACAGTTAACACATTAAAACCTAGCTGAGAGCAAGGACATGATGTTCTGCACGTTTACTGGGATGGCATATCCTTGCACTGGCCCATTCTCGACAATGATAATTAATACTGGTCTTGCTAAGGGTCTTATGAGGTTCCCAGCAAGCCTGGAAAAAGGATTATAAGGTCTTGACTTTCCTTAGACACACGATAACAAGTTAAACAGAACCAAGCTGGGAAAAGAGATAAAGTATATCAAGTTTATTGTACCACTAAGCTCTCAATACCGTTATGTTACGCAAGGTCTAAAAAATCTGTTCCCACTAATCTCTACGCATGCGCATCTCAGAAATCGTCTATTCTAGCTGCCCGCGCAGCCATAGTCACTGCCCTCACCAATTCTCGGTTTTCACCCACGTGACTTGGTGCATGACAACGGTTGCTAACCGCCATATTGGTGCACAACATAGTGTAAACAAAAGAGATTCATCAC